GGCCCGGGCGGCGCCGCCCTGCGCGGCCGTGTGGCCCTCCACTCCGGCCGCTCCACCAGCTGAAGTCGTGTCCTTCCACGCGCAGCCTAAGTTTGAGTGTGAGGAATTAGCAAGCACGACTTTTCTTTGGATAGACAAACGTAGCTATTACAGAGAGAGAGAGACGGAGGGAGAGGCAGCCAGGACAATGGGTACACGCTTCAGGAAAATAATGTGGTTTGTTTTTTGTTTTTGTTTTTTTCGATAGATGGTGTCGCGCTCCTAACAACTCATAGGACGATCCTACACGATGTCCTGTATCTCAGAAAACCCACGACACGGCGGAAATTGAAAATGTACGTGCAGCAATCTCAGTGAGGTTACCAAGCAGAAGTGTGCAGTACCAGCAAATGTCTGGAAGCTGACGGCCACCACTTCGAGCACCTCTGGTGATTGCAGAGGCCGAAGGTGACTCGTGTTACTCTCACGATGTCTCCGTAAATTTGGTATTAAAATATACACGTTTTTCTTTCCCTGAAGTGTGTAAACATTTTTTGTGGAATATATATATTAGGAATCTGTAGGACACCGATAGTGGTTTTCTTTCCAAACCACTCCTGTGATTTAACAGATGTTGTTCCCATTTTCTCAAATGGGAAAGTGAGGCAGTAGGAAATCTGGTAGCTGCTGCTCTGATAACTCCTACATTCAGCATTCATTGAACATATTTTTTGAGATCTATCAGGTGTCAGGACCTTTAGAGGATTCTTTCTGCTTTTACTAGTGTGTCATGTACGTCCTGATGCTAGAAGTGTGGTGGTGGTTACTTTAGGTTTTGTAGATCCTTGATCTCATTTGACCATATAAGACAGAAATACTCCACTTGAACCGACATCTCAGGCAGTCTATCTCTGAGCAAGCCTCCTGGTTTCTGAACAGCAGCTACTATGTTCTGGTGGCCTGATTTAGATGCTGAGAGTATGCAGAAATATTGCTGTGGTTCTCTATTTTGGTAGAAAGAAATGATGTAGATTCATTTCTGAAGGGATCATTTTGTATTATTTTTGGAAGTACAGTTGGCCCTCCATAGTCACAGGTTCCACAGCTGTGGACTGGACCAACTATTTGAAAAAAGAAAAGTGGCATCTGTATTAAACATGCACAGACTCTTCCCCTTATCATTATTCTCTAAATAATACACTATGGCAACTATATACATAGCATTTACATTGTAGTAAGTATGACTGGATAAGTATTGCTTATCTAAGTACTTAAGACCTGAAGTGTCCCAGACTTTTTAAGATTTGGGAATATCTGTATATATGTAGTGAGATATCTTGGAGATAGGACCCAAGTCTAAGCATGAAATTCATTTATTTTTCATGAACACCACATATATGTGTATATGCATATGTATGTGTGTATATATATGTATATATATAGACTAAAGATAGTTTTATACAAAATTTTTAATAATTTTGTGTAACTCTTCACATGAGGTCAAGTGTGGAGTTTTCCACTGGTGGCATCATGGTAGCACTCAAAACGTTCCAAATTTGACATTTTCAGATTGGATTTTCCATCTGCACACATAATGAGATGATTTAAAGTATGCACTAGAGTGTGGGTAATATATGCAAATACTACACCATCATTGTAAGGAATAAGAGTGTCTGCAGACTTGGGTCTCTGCAGGGGTCCTGGAAACAATGCCTTGCTTATTCCAAGTGACAGCTTTAAATGTATACATTTAGTAAATGTCACCTCTTTATTTTTTTGCCAACTAATCAGGAACACAGAGTATGTAGATAAGGGTGTGTGAGGCAGTTGGTTTGCCTACCAGTACAGGACAAAGGTGAAACCATGCTGGGACACTGGGGTGGGCTACAAACTGAGGCAACCAGAGCATCCCCACCAGTATCCAGGTTTTCATTGCTCCACAGGTGAGGAATAGCAAGTCTGATGCTAATAGTGACTAAGACATTGATGAAACTCACAAAGACGCATTGCTTTTAAATTTGAATTTTAAAGTTCCCCTAAGGTTAATGTGAGAGGAAATTTTCACTCCTATGTTGAAGGAAAAAAAAATAATATATTTCTTCTGTATCCAGAATATAACAGTTTAAACTTCATAAGAATCAACAGATTTTTCATTTTTAATCTTCAAAGAAAGAAAGAAAAGAAAGAAAAAAGAAATCTTGTTTTATAGATGAACAGACATTTATTATAAAACAACAGCTCTCCCTGAAAGAGATTTCACCCCTCATGGGATGGTTGGCAATATCTAGAGACAGATTTCATCATCACAGTTGGGGAGGGGGTGAGCTGATTATAATTGGTGAAGTTGAAGGATCCTGGTAAATATTCTGCAATATGCAAGACAGCCCTCTACAACAGAGAATTATTAGTCCCAGATGGCATTATTGTTGAGGTTGACAAACCCTCTATAATCCTTCCAAATTATAACATAAAGTATAAACATTTAATTCCCTTTTTACATTTAATTTTCTTGAATTATACTCATTTATATTATGGAAGACTAATGGACAGATGAATACTAAAATTAAATATACTATGAATTATGAAATATAACCCATAATTATATCAATATAAATATATTGAAAAACTTGCACCCAAAATTACTTGTCAGCCTTTGAAAATTAAATTTATGAGCACTCAGGGGCTGGGGATTTAGCTCAGCGGCAAAGCACCTGCCTGGCAAGTGCAAGGTCGTGAGTTCGGTTCCTGGTACCGGAGGAAAATAAATAAATAAATAAATAAATAAATTTATGAGCACTCATATGCTTTATATTATCCCCCTACTAAATTAAAATTATGAATTTTTACAATACCCTTAATAGGTTTACAGGTAATATAGGATAAATAGTCTATTCAAATGAACTTTTATAAAAAACCTGTACTTAAATGTTTGGAAAGTTTCCACCCAAGTATTTTAAAGTAACTGTTATATCGTTATATTTAACGCTGTTGCTAACTGGACTTGTTCTCAAAATCACAGAAATTTAGACAGTGAGACTCTAGATATTACATGCTTGTCCTGCCCTTTCAAAGATCATGAACATAGAGAATATTCTCGTAAATAAGACTGCAACCACAGAAGTTGAAAGCCAAAGAATTAACTAATTTCAATCAGTTTTACTAATAACTTTTTTCAAATATTGCACTAACCTCTCTTTTCAAATATATGTATTTTTAAACTTCATTCTTGTACTATCTTTGGACTAAGTTCAAGCATCTACCATAACTTGATTAATCATTAAGTTCCATTACAGAATTATAAACAGAGATATTTTCATAATGTTAAGACTTTTGCTTCTACTTTTGTCAAGCCCCCCATCCTTTCTAGAAATTCATCATAAAATAGATTGATCTTTTAAAATCTAAGCCAGAATATAAACTCCCCCTTTTAAAATCCTCCATTAAAAAAGAAGTCCAAATACTTTTCCATGTCCAACAAATACTTTTCCATTTCTGTTACTGGACTCTGCCTCTACCAACCTTGCTCTTGCCATTCTTATGATTTCTCACAGTTCCTTGTCACAATGCCCTGTTGTTGTCCCCAAAATATTCTTTTCTCCCTTTTTCTCCCAGGTGTTTCTGTTATATTTAGGTTCCTACTATGGTGATACCTCCTGGGACATTTCCCATCAGAATCTAACCCCTCACTCTATTTTTCTTTATTTTCTTTACCAAATGTTCTATAGAAAATTTTTTACTTGTGTAACCCAGATCTCTAGAACAGAGACCTTGTATGTATAATCATAGACTGGCCTAGAAAGGCAACTCGCTGATAGCTGACTCCAAAATATTTGAATGAAAGGATTTAATATTATTTCAGTAGTTGGTTGGTATATGAGGACTGTTATGCAGGTCTTCCCAGCTGTAAGATTATGATCCATCCTCTATTTCATTAACACTGTCCATTTTTAATTAAGTTTATTGGTACATTTTAGGTAATCATAATGGTCACATTCATTATGGGGAATTTATATCTGTACATGATATAACTTGATTCTTTTTTTCCCATTTCCCAAAAGTCCCTTTAAACACTTTTCCCTTCCTTATTTACAAAAAGCTTTGTTTCCATTTTTTCCCTTTCTTTCTCACTTTTTTCTTTCCCTTTCCTTCCCTTCTCCCTCTCCCCTACCTAGTTCCCAGTATCTGTTATACACTTTGGTCAACCATGGACTTAAACTCAGAAACTGTGAGCAAAATAAACCTCTCCTCCTTTAAACTTTGACAAGTGTTGGGTATTTTGTCCCAAAACAGGAAAGATGACCAATACAGGATCCACACTGTCTTGCCCCAGTCCATTTTTCTAGAGTCAGTGTTTGTATTAATCTCTTTCCCTGTC